GTAATTACTATATGCTAAAAACAGTACACTAACTGAAAGAAAGTAACTAAGTATGTTCTTTCTAAAGGTCAAGCTAACTATACTTTACCAGATTATGTCTATTTAGGCGATACAATATGCTTAAACTATTACAATAGAATTGTAACAAGAAGCTCAGCTGAATTCTGACAACATACTCAAACAAGTACAGCATCAATTTTAGAATAATCTCAACCTTTACAGTCTCCGTCTCCACCTTCTCAACCTTAATCTCAATCTTAATCTCCTCAGTCAATACTACCTTCACCTTCTATTATATTCTTTTTTGAAGTAATTAAAATAATAACTAACATTTTATATAATTATAAAAATAGAAAAAAGAAATCAACAATATATTCTTTTGATGAATTTCATACAGTTATAGAGGAGCAAGATGCAAAGTTAAAGGGTTTTTTTGACAAATTATATCTTTCATCTAACCTTTCTTCAAAAAATAAAAGGTCATAAACATAGGCAAAAAAGCAGCTTCTATTTATATGCTACTTTCTTTGTGAAATTCGTAACAAGTTTGTTAATAACATAAAGAAAAATTTAACTGTATATTTGAATTCCACTGGTATTTCTAATGCCTTTATAGATAGTCTGCTGATTTAAGCATAACCATAACATTTTATATAATTATACGATATAAAGCTACTATCTGATGAACATGTTAGAACTGTTGATTCTATGCTTGTAAAACATGCAGAGAAAGTAATAGTATTAAACATCAATAATTATCATAGTATTCATACAAAATGGATGTCAAATATGATTACCATTTCTACTGCAATGCATTTGGCAACAATCTTGATAAATCCAATCACTATACAGAGTACAATTCTAAATATAAATATACATAATCCTAATTTGATTGACACAGAGTTGATAAAACTAAATCTAAATAATAGATTTATAAAGTTTCTCAGTTTTCGCATAATCAATATTAGGGATTCCATTCAGTAAATGATAATACTAAATTGAATGAATTTACTGTATATAGTTATGACACTAGATTAAAAGAAAATAGGATACTCGTTCAATGAAAAATATTGTCCTTATAGATTTGCAAGAAAATAATCTCTATTCTTTAAATGCATATATTAAGACTATTAATGCTGTTGTAAATGTTCTATCTATGCAATAGTATATTCAAAAAGAATATATTATACCTATCATCGCTGATTGATCTAAACAAATCTACCTCTGAATAGCTATTTCTCAGTTTATATTATATCGTAATCAATCAAATATTACTAATTCTATTCTATTATTATTCCTATTATAGGTCCTTACATATCTCATTAAAAAGTTAAGAGCTAATATTTCTTCAATATCAGCCATTTTTTTTGGTTATGTACAAGTATATTTTTGGAAAACGAAGTCTCCTTGCACAAAATTCTAAGTTATAGTGTATTAATTTTCTTTTAGAGATTTCTCATGATGCTTGACAAGAAGTTTCAAAAGTGTTAAAGTAAAATTTAGATTATGCAAAGATGCTAAATATCTTGCACTAAAAGATTTGCTTGATAACTTAATCCCTCTGGTTCTAAATATTTACATAGTATTTTTTTAATCTGGTGACTTTGACGCCTATCTAAAATTATGTCTTTGTGTATAAATGTTATTTCTTAAATTCTATCATAAAAATTATACTAAAGGATCATTGATATTTCTTTCAAATATATTTTACTGGAAGTCAAATGATCATTCTGCTCTAAAGGCCATTAAAGCTAAACTTCCAAAGTTTTCAAATTCAACTATTAAAATATTTTATAGCTTTTTACACTGAAGCACACAAAAATATACTGAAATACAGCAGATCATTAAATATGATTATCATATTAATCAATTCTACCTAGATGATAATAGATTTAGAGAAAATATTACGCATACATCTATATGGGTCGCTTATAAATATTTTACCTAAGATATTACTTTTTAATAAAAAAAGAACACATGTTTTCTTTTGCAATGTTTTTCAAAAATTTATATACACGTCTTTTATAATAAATTACCATTAATATTTTCATTACAGGTTATTCTAAATACGGGTTCATCTTCAAAGAAAAAATAGAAAATAAATAAAATTGTTATTTCTTTAATAGCAATAAAAATACTAGAAGCACGATTATATTATCTTTCACTAAGATTTAATACTTTACATAAACCAGATCTATTCCGTTATTGTAATACATCTAACTGTTCTATTTCTTTATTAATCAATATAGAACTAATTAAAGTTTTAGCTTGCAGTCACACTTATCATAAATCTTGCTATATTAATAATAGGTTTAAATATTTATACTGTCTCTCATTCTTATAAAATGATATTAATGAAAATGTTCAATCCTTATTAGAACATTTATAATGTTTTAAAAAAGAACCACAAATAGAAGTTAAAAATTTGAAAAATAATATTTCATATAATGATAATGATAAAAGCGAACCTGTAAAATATGTGATGTTAGTATTAGAAGAAGCATTACAGAAATTTCAATAACAATATAATATTTTACTTTTTTTTATTATTATATATAAAATCAATAAATTAACTTATTTATTTTATTGAATATTCTTGATTTTATTGAATACTTTTGATTTAATATATAACATTCAAATAGTTTAAATATAATATTATTAGTTTATTTTATTATTATAATATCATGTGACATATATAAATATTTATAAAAATTCATATAACCTGATCGGCTAATCATATAAAAGTCTTCTTATGAATTTTTCGGTTAGTTGTGATTTAATTTGATTGACTAGATCTGCTTGTATTTATTTGCATAACTGATTTTTTAGACTAATATTTTTTTAGATTTTTTGGGTTAAATTTTTTTTACCAATAAGGTTACTTTATTGATGACTGATCGAAAAATGCAACTGAATGAATTTAAATAGAGCTATTAGACCTGTTCATTTCTGATCATTCAGATTTTTGATCGCAAAAATCTATTAACCAATCCAAACATATAATCAAACTCAGCATTGAGTTAAAGATTTCTGATTGCAAAAAATTTTAACAAAAATTAATTAACCATTTGTTTTTGTTATATGATCAAAAAAATCTACCTTTTTGTTGTTCAGAAAAATCAAATTGCTGATCAAGTTACACAATTTCATTTGCCAATAATTATCAACTCAAAACCTGATCAAAAATCTGAATGATCAAAATTGAATAGACCTATTATGATATACATTCAAATATTTATCCTCAATTCGTAATATTTATGCTTTATTAACTAAAATGATGCCTACCAGCTGAAGTGCTTACTTTGATGAAACAGATCCTAAAGATTACCATTTTTTGGATTTTTACAAGTACCATAAAGTAAGTTAACTTTACTTTCTCTTTTATGAAAGAGGCATACAAGTTGCAGATGAATCTTAATCTTATCATAGAAGATGACTCAAAGGAAATGAAGGAAGTTACAATCCAAATGAAAAAATTATTAAAGTATTTATTTGAGTTTCATATTATTGTTCATTGCATAGCTTAGCAGAGGACCTCTTATAGCTATAATGATAATAGAATATTGTTTACCTTATAGGTAAAATATTTGCTATGAGAAATAAAACTCTTTATAATTACAGTGAAAAAATGGAATGTTATAATAGAATGTTTATTATACTTAGTATACTAATTCTGTGCAGACTAGTCAGGTTATACTTTTATTAATATTAATTTTATTAATTTATGAGAGTCATCGCAAAATTCTTAATGATGTCAATATTTTTTAGAAAAGAATCGAATTGAATATTGAGTTACAGAATCAGTTACAAAATGTAGAGGTTATAGTTTTTCTTGTATATTTTATAAAGTTGGGATTTATATTAATTGTATTTCATTTTATTAATTACAGATTAAGAGTACTAGTTCATTAATAAGCACCTTCACAAAGACCCTTAAAACTGCAATTGAAAATATTAATTATATTATTGGAAATATTAATAATATGTTAATATGAAATATTGTTAGCAATTATACTATACTAATGATATTCATAGAAATTACCAGAAAATCAGATTGATAACTTAATGCTTGGATCAGTAATTGGATGCAAGTAAGCTTATGAAAATGAAGAATTACTATTAACTTCTTTGAATAAGATTAGCATGTAATTAAATTTATAAACAAGAATATCGTTTAATTTCTGACTTCCTTTAAAATACACAAACTAGAATAAGACCAAATTTACACATTATCTTTTACAATTTCTTTTAGAAAAATGAATATTCTATTACTAAGACTGGTGAAAAATCACCTGCTGAATCTAATTTGAAAGAAAGAGATATGAAATCAAATGGTGAAAAGATCACAAACATATTTTGACATTGCTGTCTTTTATGCATAATAACTACATATATCTGAAAATGCTTTTCTAACTTGTTTTTTTATGACCTCCCTTAGGAAAAACTTGTGAAATAGTACAATTTCAGAGAATGAAAAGAAATCAATTATAATGAAATTTCAGGCTCAGACATAGATCTATATTATATAATTATTTTTGTTAGTTTTTCTTCGTAATAAAAAATATACAATTCTAATTATTTTTTTATTTTGTTATTTTAGAATCTGTCAAACATCAAGCATTTGAACATAAATTTTTGTCAAACAACCTGAATCACTCAGTTGTATCATTAAATAAGCCAATTATAATGGAAATAACATATAACTTAATCTCTATACACATAATTTGTGCATTCAACTCAATGTTACATTTGGTCAAAAAATCTGTTGAGAAAAGTTTATTTGAGAAGATTGAAAAGGTTCTTAAAATAAGTAATAAATTGATTTTAAATAGATTAATAATCTTAAAATTGGAGGCAATTTTTCAAATAAACTATGCAGAAATTAGCTTGAAAATAATAACAGAAACCAAAGTTAAAAAAAATATTAAAGAAAATGAAAATTATGATTTCTCTTTTTTATCTAGCATACTCTCCTAGATTTCATTATGATATTTAAATATATGTCACCTAAAGTATTAGCTCGAGATATGTCTAAAAGGTCATATATTGTGAAATGCCTTTCACCTATACTTCGATCTTTTAGAAATACATTTTCTGAAATTAGATACGAGCAGATTGAGAAGAATATTATTAAATCTATAAGAAATGTGAACAATATATTTGCAATTAATATAAAGATTCAGAAAACTGATTTGTTAGTTCTAAGACTATTAGATATAACTGAAATTCTACATGTTGAAGTATCTAGACCACCTTATAAACCAGAAAAGAAACATACAGTTAGAGAAGCAAAAAAATTACTAATGATAGCTGTTTGTAATTTATGTAGAATATTGGCAAATAATTTTGATTGTCTAATTGAAATTACTAAGAAAGTCAAGTTGTATAGTATACAAATAATTGGTGATAAATTGACATTATTTGCTATATTACTTATTGACAATAAAAAATATTTAGCCATCAAATTGGCTTTGTATATAATTCTCTATTCGCTTAAAACTATCAGATGTTATACAAAAATCTTTAATTTTTTCAAGATAATAAGAAACAAGTTTGTTGAACAAGAAAAACTTCTAGAAAAATTTTGTTCTTTTATGCTCTCAGTCAATGATGATACCAGTGACCTATAAGAGTAAATACATTTATAAGATGATGATCTAATACTCATAACAAAAGAAAAAATGGATAAACTCTCTTTAAATGTTACTTAATAAAATTAAAGAATATACTAGAATAAAACTTTTTATTATAAAATTGAATAGGGCATATATATACTTTCTTTATATGTAAAAATTTATTTGTTATGAGTCATTAAATTTAATTCTAATACACAAAATCATATTTTTAGCCTCATAATTACATGTTGTGATTCTGATCATTATCTATAATAATAAATAACATTTAAATAATTTGTATTTATATAAAAGTTATCATTAAACATGCAATCTAAACTAGATTTATTGAAACAAGAGAATGCCAGACTTATAGATAGAATCATGAAATTGGAACAGATTATAAAAGAAAAAATGAGCTTGAGATTAGAATAGCAAAATTAGAACAAACTACAAAGCTAAGTTAAACAGAAAATACTAAGCTCAAGAATGAAATTGCAGAATTAAAATAATCTATTAAGAATATTGAGGAGCAAAATTGAACAGTTACTAATGGTTTAAAATCTTCAGAACATTCTATCTCATTGCCTAGCAATAATTACGAAAATGCACAGATTACAAATAAATTAAAAACTTAGGACTTTGTGTCTTCTTCATCTTACCACAAAGTAGATCAATCTATGACTAATACTGACTTAGTAATTTTAAACATTTCAAAACAGGTTAACACAATTTCTGATGCATCTAATCTTAGTAAAACTTGTTCTGAAAAATCTAAATCATTAGAAGATAAAGAAATTAATGTCTTTTTAGATTCAGAAAATAAGAAAAGGGCTAGTAATAAAATAAATAGAAGAATAAGAAAAGGTTATTATATAGTAATGAAGTTTTCATTTCTCAGGATCAAGACTTATCTTTAGTTAATCAGGATACTTCAATAGAATCAGAAAAGATAATAATATCTTTATCATTATGTAATGCAAAAATTATCATGATCTTAATAATTCTAAAACTTCCTCTAAAATACTTGAATCAGTTAATCAAATCGTAGAAGGTTTAATACAAGAAATAACTTGTAATCAAAAACAAAGTATTGTTTTCTTTGAAATCAACCCATTCTCAAATAATGGTAAGATAGATTTTATTGAAATTTAGTAAGTCTTATATATAGGATATGAATTTAGGTTCTTTGAAAAGTTTATCTAACTTATTTGATAAAGCAATTAAATTAAATCAAAAAAAAATTTTATATTTTCTTTTAAATTTGAAAATAAGGTTAAAAATCTTATAGGAGATGGTAAGATTAAAGATAAAACTGCTAAATCGTAAATATATAAAGAAATGAAACCTTTTCTGCCTAACATTACTGATGTAAATTTGCATAAAAAACTCAAAAAAAATTCTTAACTATTTGGAGAAAGAGAAGTAGGTGTAAATAAAATTAAATACATTACATATAGCATAAGTACTATTTTAGGATTGAAAGATACTTAAATTCAATATATCATAAATCAAGTGACTTCAAAAACTGATAAAATATCACGAATAGACTAATTCTAAAGTAAGTAAATCTATTCCTTCGTCTTATATTTCTAATTCTTTAGGTTTGGATAATTTGCCAAAAGCTGAGGTAAGTATACTATTCATATCTCAAACTAAAACAAAGATATTACCTAAAAAATAAAATAATTCAATCTATAATTATACTTATTTTTATAATAAGATATTGTAGAGTTATTCTGATTTACTGTATATAAAGAATTTGGTAGTGAAAAATTTGATTATTATAAAATTATTGAAGAATCATTATATCCAGTATGTAGAGTTCCGAATGAGTCGAGTTAAGTCGAGTTTAAGGATTAACTCGATTCAACTCGTTTTTTTCGAGTCGAGTCGAATCAAATTTATTTTATAAAATTTTTCAACTCGACTTGATTCAAGTTATATAAATTTTAAACTCGACTCAATTTGACTCAACTTGAGTTTGACTCGACTTGATTTTGACTTGAATTTATTTAAGTTGAGTCAAATTCAAATCAAGTTTCGAGTCAAATTTAAATTAACTTATAAATATTAAATATAAAAAATTTATTTTAAATTATATGATATTATAAGTTTTATA